TAAACGGGATATATGAGGAATTAGAATATGATCAGAAGTTTACTAGCAGTAAGATATCCCAAGTCAATAAGAGAACAGCTCGACTTTTTCAACAGAAATGTAATGTATCTGGTATACGTAGCGAAGGCCCTGAGCGCCTTCATTCCGAGCTTATGCAATATGATGACTGTAGCTATATTGCCTACCCGTCCCTTCCCCGGCGTTGTCAAGCTGTTATTCACAAGAATGTTATCAAAATAATTGTTGTTACAGGTTACGATTATCTGATTTGAAAGTTTTTTGAATCCAATTTTGCTTTTTTGTATACATTTAAGTTAAATACTCTTTCTGTGTAAGTAAAAGAACCAAATATATCGGAATATTTTAAAATAACTGATTACCCTTATGTATTTAAGAAACGAAAAAATGGCACACTGTATTATTAAATTATTTTAAGATTGAAAAACAAATTAATGGATATCAAAAGTATATTGTTATTCATATTAAATCGTTACCACAAATTAAGAATACACAACAAGTAAAGCTTTACATAACAACTTTTACAAACGTATGAGAGTCAACTTGCATAGATGAAGTTGATTATTCAAATAGTAGGTGCAATCAGTTAAATGTGTGAGAAAATTTAATTCAACAATTTAAAATGATCGAAGTCAACTACTAATCTAAGAGTTGCGTAGAAATACATTTAAAAAGTACCCACATGACCATGATTCATTTTCAATTTACTTAGATCAATCAAAAATCCATTCATAATTATAATTGATGCATAACCAATATCTCCCTATGTTCCTATTATTGTAGTTTTCTATTATTAATTACTGTTGACAAAATAAAATCAATTTATTAATTATGGCATTACCTGAAAGTAGTAAAAATTGGAATAGTTAAGTGGATCAGGTCACCTTCTCATATTGTATAATTTTACATTACGACTTCAAAGAGTGTAAATTATACAATATAAATAGAAAATAATACACTCGACAAAATCTTAAAAAACTGGTTTGATAGAAGATTGTGTTTGTGGCTACACGAATCAAACAAACCTGCCTATGTTGTAATTACATGTCACAAGTATGGTGTTATGTCTACTGAAGACAGAGCTCTGGGGGGGGAGGGGGAGGTGGCGCCCAAAATGAGTGGTTACAACTACGTGCACACTAATACAGCGCCGCGGGCGTGTTGGGGCAGGTCACCACTGACCGGTTTTGGATTTAAAACTCAGCTGTGAATATAGAGATTGATGCTATGCACTTGAAGCTGGGGTTAAGTACTTTGGGGAATATAAAGATCTTTCGTTTACAAATTTATTATTTAACTAAATCAATACAAACTAAACTTACCAACAAAAAAATCGACGAGCATTTTCAGTAATATGCTACTTAGTAGGTTCTGGTTTGTGCTCACTCACTATTTTTATTGAACGGCTTGCTTGTATACAAATGTTGTTATATAACTTTTATCCAAAAAACTTTGTAGCCTATGGTTTGACAACATCATTCTAATGAAAATATCTATTGTGTGCCACATATAGAGTTATTGATATGTCATTGTTTTATTGTTAAGCTTCTTTGTCTCAGTGAACAAAAGAAGCAATATTCATTGACTACAATTTTGTTTGTGTGTTTTGCATTGTTAGTTTGTACCGTACTGATGCTTGGACCAAAAAAATTTTGTCTGAATTTGGTTAAAAAATTATTGCAAAATTTTGGAAGAATTATAATACTAGTCAAGAAAAAATCTATCAAATTTAACTTTGATCGAGCAGTTTATATTTTTATACAATTATTCACGAAAAATACGATGACACTAGAGTATATCCCATCCCATAAACCCCATTAATTACATCTGTAAATTTAATTTCCCCCATCATTATTTAGCACTAGAGTTGTATATTACAGTATTTAAACTATGATTTACCATAACATATTTGCTAGGATGAATCGAATCTGTTACAACGATGTTAATCTGTTATAAAGATGTTATTGATGGGGGGGGGATAGATCACGGCAGGATAGGGATGCAGATGTAACCTTAGCAACCACTAAGCTACACTCTTGAGCAACACTATAGCATCGGTGACCTGAACGCTGGTATAGACAGAAGGCGCTGCTGCTAGATAATGGCGCAGCGTGCACCATTTATATTCTGGAATGCCGTCCGTCCAAGTACACCAACATATCCACCGCGAGTGGACGAAAAGTCAAAAAAAGTATACTCAAGGATTCCGGGAATGCTGAGGAATCCGCGTATGTAAGTGCCTGTAGTTATGGTAAAGTAGTGGAGATGACACTTGTTTATATACAGCCTTGTAACACAATTTGTTATAGGCTACTAAGAAAAACTAATAGTACGCTATTCATATTGGTTGCAAGTGAATTTACACCATATTACGGTCTTTAATATAATTAAATAGGCCATAAAGTCTCTGATCTTCTGAAGGACATGATTTTGAGAAGCTGGAACTTTTACTACGCAAAATGTTTTTACCACTCTACTTTTTTGGAGGTAAGGAAACTCCTCCGAAACGTGTGTTCAAAACACTTAGCGTAGGAAAAGTCTATTTAAACAAAAATTAAAACAGTAATCCTTCGCAATTATGAACACAGTTGACCTTTTACTTTAGCTTGGCTAACAAGTTGGCCTAATCTATCGAAATCAGTAATTTACATCAGCGCACGTCGCGGGTGCCGGAATTATTCTAAGTAGATTTTTATTATAAAACTCGCAAAAACTAAAAATGGGGAGGGAAGGTCTAGTTGTAACCATAGTTGAAGATTCAAGGTAATCGGTGTGTTGGACAAACAGATCCCCTAGTTGCTAGTTGCTAGTTGGCTTGTTGTTAGTTGCTCAGACAAAGCCATGTCGTGTCGTCGTGTCTGGACATATAATCACTACCTGAACAGCTGATCGTTATCCTCCCTGGCCAATCCCTGTGTGGGTTTACTGGAGTTTACTGACCACATAACACTTCTAAGCAGACGCTTGACAATGAGAAGTTGTAGGTTATAGTTTCTTCGGTGTGATGGTGTTGGCAATCACACAGAGTACTTCCTGGGTACAAAATAAAATGTGGTGCTCGTAGCTATGTTGCCTCCAAAGATTACTTCGACAATATAGATTATGGATAAACTCCAACTGAACAAAGTATACAACGGAAGTTGAAATTGAGTAACATGTATTACAGGTGATTGGTTTCTTTGTAAGTTTCAAAATAACTTTTAAGTTTTTAGAGGTGGATATTGGAATTTGTATGTAATAAGATCCATGTAAGGTCATGCGAACAATTAATTTCCCTACGGGAAAAACAAAGATTAGTAAGAATAAAACACATTTTATTAACACATGAGAAGATCGTAAGGTATCCAAGTCCCCAACTCCCTCTTTAATACAAAATAGTTTGATTACAAAAGGATCGATGCTATTAGAACAAATTAATGGACACAAATAAACAATTTGAACGTAACAAAATTAATTAGTCCCTTTACTAAAACAAAATTGACACAATACCACCGTGTTATTGTTATAATTACGTATTACTGTTACTAATTAAAATGAAGAAGATTAATAGGAATAAATAGTGGTGTGAGATGCCTTGTGTAGCTTTGTAAAAGCAGCTCTTACTTTTTTTAACTAGGATTATTTATTAAGAACCTCAAGGCCAAAGACAGCTGGGTCCAGTTTCAATGTTAAAGGAATCTTCTGAACTTTATCAGAATCCAACTGGTGACCACTGAATCCACTCTACTGTCCTTCTACATTTTAATCAATATAATCTTCTCCTTATCAACATTTTTGTAGAAATAGTTAAATGTGCTAAACGGCCTACATAATTCCAAAGCAATGATGCAATCTGGTGCCAGGGATGGTCCAATAGTGTACAGAAAGTGACAACAAAGAAGCGTAATGTTTTATGAGTTCTTTGTCAGTTGCAACGGTTACTATGATTGCAGGGCTCTCGGTTCCTTCCTGGATTGTTTTGACGAATAGACAGTTCAGTAAGTAATAAACCAAGGTATTATAGAGGAGAACAAAATGTGTGTTAAAAGAAACAATAAAACAGGTGGCCAAACGTAATGAACCGATTGCATGGTTGGTTATAACAGCTGATCTCACCATTATTTGAGTTGGTTTTGGCAGAGGGCGTTTAACCAAATACGTTTACTGACTCAACAAATCATTTACGTGGCAGTTCCACATAAAGACACTCACACATGTATAATGCATTATGAAATTGGTTTTCTTTTAATAACAAACTGACGACTTTAGACACTTAAATAGACACAAGATCAGTAAGTTATGATTATCTGTGATGAAAAGTAAAACGTCAATATACTGAAGTTGTCAGTAGTTATTTTACTATACTATAGGAAATAGTGATAAATATATGCTAAGCTTGCTTTTTAATTAATGATAATCCTAACTACAGTAAAACAACGTAAACCTCAAAGTCTTTCGAGCAACTTGAACTCAACGACAGATTAGGCGGGAGAAAGGTGAACTACAGTGATAGACATTAGAAAACGTCTAGTAGTTCTCGGTCTTGCTGCTAGGTGGCAGCACTATACCACAAAGCTAGCTACTTGGGTACAACTACTTCTGTATGGTTAGAAACATATCGTACCGCTTTTCGTTAAAAGAGTTCTTCAACACGAAGAAAGTTCTCATAGTCGGAGATACCTTAGCTTCAGTTCAGCTTTGAACACCTATAGGCTGGATTATGCAACCTGTCTCCTAACCTCGGTCACCAGGTAGACAGAGTGCCAAGAGACAGGTTATATCATACAGACCATAGGTAAAATTACCACTAAAATTACAAAATTACACTAAATTACCACATAAAAAGCCTGATTGGTGGGATTTGAAACCAGACCACAAGAACATAACACCCGCACTCCTATACCATAGTGTACAGATTAGATGGTTCTACTTCCCAAATAAACGTTCAGATCAGTACTAAAAGATAATAAGTAGGACACAGTTATCAAGTAACTAGTACATACCGGGAGGTCGTGGTAGAAGGGTTGTCGCGCTGGCGCGGAGGACGGTTGTCGCTGCATTGCTCCATCATAATCGGATTTTCATTCTGGAACAAATACAAACTAATATAGGAAAGTTCCTCTTGGAAAATCCTGAGGATTGGATTAGCAGTAGCCCAGGTTTTCTCTGCGAATTAAGTTATCTCACAGAGAGGAGAGAGCCTACTTGAATTAGCTTGAGCCTCCCATAAAAACTACTGTAGAAGTAGGCGAAAATTCACCATCCAAAAACATGTAGTATAACAGTATTTGATAATCAGGAAAACGTGCAAACCTTGTAGTTATAGGCCAATTTCCTTCATCCAAGAAATAGGAAACATTCCCAAAAGGAAGTGTGGAAACGTCCGGAGGCTAGCCCACGTGCATTACCGATACCATTACCAACATTACCACCGTTACCAGCGTTACCACAGCGGTATACACCACTGAGGATCCCGGAAGGCAACGGGTACCGAGGAATGTGGGGCTATTATCATGTTAAGCAGTGTAATGAACTGGGAATTCATTAGTAGCGGCGCTAGGCAGATAGGAGCCCCGTAGTATCTGATGTACTTGTACTTGGAAACGTAATGTGCTTCAGCTGGGTACTCACTAGTGACTCATTGTCAGACGTTTAAGGTTCATTAATATATCCTAAACCAGTGACATTTGGTAGGAAAGAAAACGCTTTTAACGAATAGGGGTCCAATCCTCTCAAATTCTTGTGGACGTGTCGGGAATCGAACCCACCCCTCTCGCACTGAAGTACTAACGTAAAACTAGGTTGGTAACACACTTAAATAACCTGAAGCACAGATTGTACATTCATAATATGTAATATGAATCTTTTACGTTTTATTGCGTGTAAGATTCTGAATAATATAAATACTTCTACCACACACAAGATAGTAAAACTTATTGCATGTTTTCTGTGCTTCTACCCTTCTGTGGGTTGTTTGATACTTTTGTACAGTCAAGCCTAGTAAAGCCGCGGTACAAACGACACTGTCTCCGGTCCACGTAATAAAGTAGACAAGTGGACTACACAGGAAGAGGCAGGTGCTAAGTATAACAAGTGGTTGGCCTTAAATACCACGCTTTACATTCATTATGCTGAATATTCATAGCGGTTCTCGGCAAACTTGGCAACGTATCTCGGCAAAAAGCGTAACATTGTGAACATAAAAAGGTGTTATACAGACGGTTTATGTTGCCTACAATTTGTTTTGTATTGTATTTGATCACTCATAACTTATTTAGGGATTAGTTATCAATAAGAAAACCGTGAAAGAATACATTTCAAGGACGAAATACCTTCTTTTCATCAAATTCCGGTAGGTGACACCAAAAGTAATGTTTAATCAATCGTTTTCGGGCTGGAATAGGTATGTTTGGACATTGGGAAGTTTAAATGAGGAAACATAGATCAATATTGAGGGTATGCAGCTAAGTCTAAAAATATGAACGGTGAAGTCAATGTTGTCTAGAGAATTGGATGATTCATCAAAGAAATGAGACGGAACTTCAATGTCTTAAAGACACTGGATTTAACTCCGAACAAAGTGACAGATAGACATTTTCTAAATCAATATTCAACGTTTATCAAACCGACAACTTCGGTAAAAATGTAGAAGTTAAGCATTAAGATATTTATTTATCCTACTTTCCTGACATACCGTACCACTGGTACACTTTTATACCATTAATATCATTAGATTTTTAAATTAACCTAAGTAGTTGACTGATGAAATCAAAGTATTTATAATCTCGCTAACCTTACTCTGACGTAAAATAGTTTACTTAATTACTTAAATTATAAGAAAAGTTATTAATATTATATTTGACAGTCGTATAAACTTCCAGAATGCATCAACACTAGCCTCCTTCTCTGATTGAAATTACTGTATTTCCCAGTAAACGAATACAGGTTACAATTGTAAATTTTCACCAACATTACTACATAATCCTCCACTCTCTGCCGATACCTCCGAGTTCACCATCAGTTATAACCTCTGGGGTGCACTTATCACTAATTATGATACTAACGCGAAGTCACGACTACTTTCCTTTTAGTAGAGCTGCAGAGGATGGTTAGTATAACGTAGAAACTTTGATATAACTGGATCTTCTTTGATATAAATGGCGACTTAGCGCCTGTAAGTAGGACACCATTTACGGATCTGTAGGACATTTACGTTTAAGTGTTCAAGGATATTTTCTAGGATACGAGTGAAGATTTAACAATCGTTAAATGAGTTTTTTTTACGAAAATACTTTCTGTGAGAAGTCTGGAAATAACACAATCATTGAACTGTTTCTAAAAGCAGTTACCGTTTATTTTACAAGCAACAGTAAACATTAACATTTGTGATAAAAGTACCAAAATATGTATTATTAATTAATATATTAATTAATTAATATGTATTAATTAAGTGTCTTGGCATGTGCCTACTCTGAATTTATTCAGTAAAAAAATTAAGTAACTCTTAATTCTTCGATTCGACAAGTAAATTTGTCAATACAATTTTTCGCAACAATGGTTGAAGGAGACTTTTTTAATGCTTGAGGTCGAGATGAAATCTAAAACTTGAAAATATAAAACTCTTTCAAACTTATGGCTGAGATGAGAATCATATTTTCCTCCTCACTATACGTTGAATGATTAGTCATAATATTAACAAATAAGAATACAATCAACCTTCCAGGAGGGAAATACGACAATGAGGTGTTAACAGCTGATTTACATGATCAAATACAGAGGCTCTGGCTTGCAAAAGGCAACTTTAGTTTATCACATGATGTTATAAATATAGCTAGAAAGTACCTTATTAGTAAAACCAAATTCCCAGTTAATATCTCAATAAAAAATTATGTTCCTAACACTTTTCTTCGTGTAAGTTTATTCTTACATAGAAGTTGGAGGGTGAACGGTGAACAACTCAAAGAATCTACAGTTCACCGAGACCCTACGCTGGCTTTTGAACTCCCGCTATCTCCCTGCAGGACAGAGCAAACAGCTGATATCGCACAGGCACCTCAAACACCTGTAAATCACCTAATCAGCTGATTTACAACTGTTGAGTTTGTCAACGGTTATCAGCTGTTTAAGGAATTGTAACATGATTGCTTTATTGGAGCCCACTGATAAGTATTTCATGACATTTTGGTATTCGATATTTAAATATTGAGGTATTAGCTTGGAACCGGATGGCTGTATATTTGAGTAAAGTTACTGCAAGCAGACTTACCTATTCTATTGCGGCACTTTTGAAGGGTTCAAGTCAAATTGAGTTTGAATGTATTGAGCTCACTCATGGTGTTGCGACTATACACTACGTGTGGTTTTTATTTGCGATTTTCAGCTTTGGCTGGACTTGTGTTGTAAGCTTGTTAAGTTTACATAAGTTTATCGTCAGAGGTGTCAGATTTCGGACCATGGACATCTTTTTACTCAATGTGATGAGAAAATGTTTACAGTTTTGTATTAAATGGTTATTCATTGTTGGTTGAGCAATACAAATGGTGTTCGGTATCAATGTTATGTTATATACGGTAAGTTAAAAAATGTCTTCAATTCAAAGAGTCCAAATAATGACGATAGATATATGAGGGAATATGTTTGATATGCTACTGACTTCTATGAAACCGAGTAAAAATAACAATGAAAGACTTATGTATTGTGATACGCAAAAACGGAAACTTAGCTACCAATCAACTACGAGACAATTTTTGTTTATTTACAAACCCAAAGCAAACCTTGACCAATGAGAGTCAAGTCCGGGTCGTGCTGGGTGTGACCGCTGACCGACCTTCAGAATGGCTTATCTAGTTTTATGGAACTTTAATCTAACAAATATTAATGGAGTTTAACGTTTTGCCATTTATCAACAAAGATGAAGTTGAGCAAAGTGGTTAAATGGAGCAAAGTGCGATAATGTTTAGTTTGCTTAAGTTCTGTTGAAGCTTAGCTTTTATAAATGATAATTAAAAATATACTAATTCTTTGGTCCCATGACTCAAATCAGTACATTTAAGTAATCAAATGTCCACGTGTGTAGTGCAAACAATTGAAGGGTATAAATCTAGTAAAGCTTTCAATTAAATAACTTGAAAGCCAACCTAATCAAAGTAAACATCTCTTTAATTTCGCAGTATGCACAATGTAGACAATTACGGTATGTTGTAGTAAATATTTGTAATTTTTTCCAGTAAAATCAAGTATACATTTAATAGTCTACAATAGGATACATTTTATAAATGTAGGAGTGTGTGAGGCTACACATTTTTCAATACTAATACATCATAGCACAGACTATGTACCATTAAGCTAATTGGTCTATAGTCTATAATAATAGGTATAAATAGATTGTTTGTAATATTCACAGAAGATTATAAGAAGATATGCGTGTGTCAATATTTAAATACATTTTAAGAGGTAAAACAACCCAAAATAACCTGTAAAGATTCAAACATATTTTTAGCAACACTAACATAGTTATATATTGATGAATTAAATTGTAAGATGTCAACAATGACTACTCATAGAATTATCAATATTGACACTACTACAATGAGTTTTTGTCCAGGAATACCAACACCAATTTTGTCTGCAAATTAAGTGTCAACATTTTGGTTTTCAAATCGAGAACCAACTGTCAAACAGTTTTCTATTTAAAGTGCAAAAGCTGTGTAAGTAAAGAGGGTTAATGAAACGAGGATAAACATGTAAAAACCTGGAAGTACTTGAGAGCTAATATCTGGTGTCAGTGGGTTTGACCAAACATGTCAAGTGAAGGTTTTTGCCACATTCTGCCCGTTACTCGGTGGGCGTTGTTTAGCATAATCACACTCCGCCCTCTCCTTCCTCAAGGGACGGAGGTATCCTCGTAGAAATTAAAAATCATGGTGATAATCTATATTTCAAACACATAGAATTCCTAAATTAAGGTAGATTTTTGAACCTCTCCCAATGAAAAAAGCATCACAAATCACTCATGTTAGCTCAAGCTTAGAAATACACATCTTTTTAAAATTATCTCTCACTCAAATCCCATCATCTTGATAGTAC